AGAGAGAGAGAGACAGAGAGAGAGAGAGAGAGTGCAAAGCAATTCTCAATGTTCTTCTGGTGGACACTTTGGAAAGATAAACAGAATTCCCAGATTCTAGGAATCATTTAGCATTTATAACATATGTCTTGATTCAGATTCCTTTTTGTCTGGATAAATGAAACTCTTCTCCAAGGTATTATCTTGTCTGATTTTTACATCATTACCTACAACCAAAAGGTAGACTGACTTTTTTGTTTAGCATATTTTCTCAGGATTTTATATTTATTATTTCTCTAGGATTCTGAATTTTGTCTTTGGATTCAAATAGAAGGATAGCATAGAGGGTTGGGCTCTTTTGCTTGGTTGATTGATGTTTTGAATCATCTTAATGATTATTCAATAATTGATGAGGCACATATAACTGATCAAAATTGACCTCTAGTGTTGCCAAAATAACTGCTGCCAAAATACCAACCCCTCTATGTTGTTGGTATCTAATAAAGAGGTATTATAAGGCATTATCAGATCCTTTATTCCATGAGAACCTAGGTCTTATTGAAGTGCTTTGGTCTAAAAAGCTCCTTTTAAATGGTTTGAAATAAAAGTAGAAACAAAGGTGGGTATTGAAGCTGTTAAGTATAATAATAGTTATTATTAGAAGTTGTTACTTTTTATTAGCATCCTGTCATTTTACAAAGTGCTTTCCCAGACATTGTTGTTTTGTTTTGTTTTGTTTTGTTTTAAAGATTTTATTGGGGAATTAGGGGAGGAGAACAGCGTTGGGGAATCAGGGAAGGGGAACAGACAAGCTGCTGTCCTTTTGCTCCTCAGTCCAGCTGTGGAGGACGTCGCGTCACTGGCCCAAGTTGGCACCATCATTGAGCTCTTCCCCGGCGAGGCAGATCAGTCGCCGGCCTCTGGACGGCCACTCACAGTGGCTGCTGGCTGCTCACGCTGGCTGCTGGTTACATACGGTAGCTTATGGCAACCCACTGCAGCAGGGGCTGCAGCCCACACCGTCGCCGGCAGCCCAGCCCCAGGTCAAGCTGCCGTTCACCATCTTAGCTGCAGAGGGCAGTGTCACTTGCCCTCATATGTGGGTCCGAACGGGAGCCCTCTGGCATCCCAAGCCAGTTCTTAACCAACGCGCCACTCGGCCAGCCCCAGACATTGTGTTTTTTTTTATTCTCATACCAACTGTCAATATCTTTTAACAGAAAGTAAAGTCATGAATTTGAATTAAAGAGAATGCTTTACACCATGAGCACTTCTCAAGAGGGGTTTGGAAGCATGAACCTTTCTGGCAGTGGATTTTGGAAATTCCAGACTGAGGGAAGAACATGTATAAATATACCAAAACAGAAATTATCACAATATGAGGGGAACTATACTAGCCCTCTTTTATATTGCTGGAGCATAAAGTGTGGTAGAACAAGAGTTGACTATGAGGTAATTTGAGTCTGAAAACTTTTAGTAAAGGGCCAGATAGTAAATACTTTATATTTTACTCTTTTGTAACTACTCAACTCTGCCCTTGTAGCTCAAAAGCAGCCATGGACAATATGTAAACAAATGAACATGGCTGTGTTTCAATAAAACTTTATTTCTAAAAACAGGTAGCTGGCCACATTTGGCCCAAGGGCGATAATTTGCTAACCCATGCATTAGAAAATTCACACAAAAGGAGATGGAAATTGTTCAGGTTTTAAAAACAGGAAAATGTTCACATTCACTATAATTTTAAAATTGAAAATTAGAACACTACAAGATGCTTCCCTCTCATTAAATTAGCAAAAACGAAAATTACAAATTTCAGTGTTGGGAAAGATAGGAATAATTCTACTTTAGGTATAGCCATTGCTGGGGGCCGTGATTAGCATTAATACAATCTTTCTAGAGAGTAAATTGATAGAAGATGACATATGTCATAAAATTTGTCAGAGCTTGTGACAAGGGAGGGAGGATTTGTATTGAAATAGCATTGAGTATGTATACAAAAGAAACATTTATTATAGAGTTAAAAAAAACAACCAAAGCTTGTAATACAGATATAAAACATATCAATATAAATATTGTTCCTTGGAATGTTAAATATGACATGAGGGGTATTTAAATGGGGGGATCTATATAAATTAGTGGAGGAAAAGTAGAACTTGAATGGTATATACACATTGGTAGCAGCTATGTAAAATTAATTCCGTATAAATAGTAATATAGAAAGAACTTATAAACTGAGTTGGTTGAGAGCGGTGTGTGTGTGGGGGGGTTTTACTTCTTGTTTTTGATTCTATGGATGCTTAGATGTAAACAACATAATGTTTTACCTTTATTGTGCTGTTGAGTGGATAAACCCTCTTTTAAAATATTCAAAGAAATGCAAAGTAAGTTCCCTCAGCAGGATTTTTGCTCCTGTGCTGGCTAGATGTGAGAGCACATCAAGGATGTCCCCATGGAGAAGTGACAGACTTTCTCTCCCTCTTACTAACCCCCACATAGGGGTGGGACAATGTTCATGTTACAGACAATAACAGATCTTTATTTTTTTCTCTGCTCCTGTCCCAGCTTAGCCTTTAATTCCTCCATCTTTATAGCCCATAAATCCAGATTTATCTTCTCAGTTTATTTGGTAGGCTTGCCTGTTTCCATTCCCCCAAAGTTTCTTAAAGAAAAAAATCTTGACCAGGTCTAGCAATACTTTCTTTACGTTTAGAAATCCCCACTTCAGAATGATGCTGTAGCAGAGAGCCTGGGTTTTAATGAAGGAGCAGCTCCTATCTATACGGCCGGGCCCAGTACTGAGCATCTCACTGAGTCTTAGCAATGCCATTTCAAGGTAAGTATTTTATCCATATTTTATAAATGTGAAAACTAAAATTCAAAGAATGTAAATACTTGTCTCCAAATAATGCAGCTAATAGTAGGAAAGACAAAATGCAAATCCAGGTCTAACTTCAAAACTCACACTCACCCAGGAGGGACTATATTGCCAGGTACATGAAAAGGAGGGAGTACCAGGCTCAAGGGTCTAAGGAAAGAAGTATATTGAATGTCCTTCCCTTGCTCACTCCCCGACATAGTGAGGACTCCTTTTTGGCCAATCCTTAATGCCAATGTGGACGAGGTAAACTGCCAAGGGAACAGGAGTCAGCTCTGGAAATGGTTCACATGGGTGGCCATAGCCTTTCTCAGCCCTTTGCTTTCTATACATTGGCTGTTATCTCCTTATGGAATATAAGAGCATCGAGAGCCTGGCCATATGCCCAAGTGGGCAAGTGCTCATGTGTGTGCACGGGAACACTCACTCAGAACTTTAAAGTCAGTTGAGGCACCGGAAGCTTCACCGATTCTGAAAATCTCTTGATAATACAACTTTTTGCTCAGAAGAAAAAAGG